AAGCGTTCGGGCTTTTCTATCCCTGATGGTGCCAGGAAACGTTCTGGCTTTAAAGGGAAGGACGGAAGGAAATTAATACCCTCCGGCTTTTAAACTTTTAAAAAATCTTAGAGGTCTACAATGGGATGTACTAAAACTAAGGACAGCGATTGCCCATAGGGAATACATGAGTGCCCATAGAGAATAATGGAGAGTAGGCTTGCCCAGAGGGAATAGTGCAGTACATAACTGCCAATAGAGAATCGAGGACTGCCCATAGGGAATAATGGAGAGGTCATGAGTGCCCATAGAGAATAATGGAGAGTAGGCTTGCCCAGAGGGAATAGTGCAGTACATAACTGCCAATAGAGAATCGAGGACTGCCCATAGGGAATAATGGAGAGGTCGCTTGCCCATAGGGAATAATGGAGAGGTCGCTTGCCCATAGGGGATAGTCGAGTACATGCTTGCCCATAGGGGATAGTCGAGTACATAACTGCCAATAGAGAATTTTGTTGCCCCCCTGCCTGTGCGCCAGTATTTTACTCTGCTGTAATGCCTAAGCCAAACAACTGGAGGATGTATGGGGGAGTACGCTTGACTGCCAGCTTGTTGCTTTTAGAGCCTGGGAACTGCACCTGTATTATGTCTGGAGATAGCCTGGTTCTCAGGGAATGAGCGCGCAACCGTTTCCTTTCACCCGCCAGCGGGAAAGTGACCCATTGGTCCTGTACCTGGTTCAAACCCCTTTATCTTGTTTGCCCTAACCGTTTGTAGTCAGTTCTAACAAAGAACGTGTTTGAGTGTCTTTCCAAAGCTTTGAAATAAATTTTGCTTTTCTTTAAAACGTGGATTTATTCTCGATTCTTGGGGATCCAACATATTGTTAGAACTGTCAATTTTCCTATCGTCCCGAATCTGACGTGATCATGAGCGGGGCAGAGGGAAACCTACCTACAACGGAGGGGGACACAGGATCGGTCCCTACAACCTCCACATCGTTGATCACCACGACTACCGTTCCTACGTCGGGTGCGGTGGGGGGAGCGATTCCCCGGTTACCTGCGTACTTGTCTTGGCCGCCTCCAACCCCTTCGC